TTTTATTTTTCATTTAATTTTTAATGAACTTTATTTACCTTTCATTTTTCTATGTACTTTTTTATTAAATTTTCTTCTAATTTTAAGTTTTTATTGTTATAAGAAACAGTTTGTTTTTTAATTTCGTTTCATTTTTAAGAACTTGTTTTATTTATTTTTAATTAAATTTCATTTAATTTAAAAATGATGTTCTTTAAATTTTTAGATTTCAAAAAAAAAAACATGTTCTAAGTTGCTTCTAATTTTTATATACTTGTTTTATTTTTTTTCTTTTCTTAATTTATTTTTTGCTTTTTTCAGTTTAATTTTGATTTTGTTTAATTTTTAGATATAAAAATATTTTCATTTTAAATTTAATTTAATTTTTTATGCGCTCATTTTATACTTATTTAGTTTTCTGTTAATTTTTAGTTCTTAAGGTTTTAGAAAGAAAAATATATGTATTTTCGTATATATTATTTATTTTATTTACTTCTTAAAAAACTTATTTCTAAAGACAAACACAGTAACGCTAAGACCTTCTCGTTAGCAGGTCTTTCGATTAGCCTTTCGAAAGATGGAAAAGAGCTTTCAAGATAGAAGCCAGAATTGACAAGTCCCTTACGAACGACTTTTGCCTTTCAAGAGACTGTGGTGAGTTAAAATATAGTTGCCAGAATTTCCTGGATAGTCTAATATTATCATTGCTCAACAGGCTTCCAAAACTAATTTAGGTGTCTTGTGAAAATCCAGCACGTTGTACCTCAACACCTCTTCTTCATAAAGGCATATCTGACATTAAATATAAGGACAACCTTTTTGCAGATATATGGGAACGAGGTCCATGGTAACTAGTTAGGTAACCAATTATTTCTACAGAGGCAGAACAATTTAAGCAAATGTCCTTGGCTATAACTCTCCGGAGGTCTTTTCTTAGTAATAAGTAGTATGAAGCTTATTTTTACTAAGAGTTAATTGAACTCATCCGAGACTGTTTCTGCTTATTTATAAACTTCGACAAGGAACTCGTTCCTCGCATTACAAAACATTTATATTTACATATACATATGTAATGCTTCAATAGTCATGGTAGGGCTCAGTCTAGACTCCTAAATGCATCAAGAAGCGTTCAGTAAACATGACCTCGAAGCCATACTAAGCTTTACCCGGGTTTAATAACGCGTCGCACTTAATTTGGGGTGCATTTTTTTACGTCTGCCGTACTTACGTCTCCGCAGCAACAAAAGAGAAAGGAAACTAAATATTATCTTACAAATTCCTACAATTGCACTTTATGCACACGAAGTTTGTAGTAAAAGGACCTCCTGCCCTGCACTCACTCCCACTCTCTTCGCATTAGCCACTCTCGTTCAACACAAGCGAAAAATCACCACAATTCCATTACACGAAGAGTGATTGATTACAAAGCTAATCAACAACAATAACTTCATCTAGTGTCACGCCTTTTTGTCATTGCCTACATAGATCCCGCAGGAGTAATGAACTTCTTTGCTGGCAGCCAGTTCACAGTGGACAAAAAATCGCCGTCGAATTGTCAATAGTAGCTATTCGTTTATTCATCTTGCACTTCCACCGCAATAATGTTCTTTGTTGGTGGTGGGCGCGAACCGTTGTTGGCTGGTGGCATTGTTGTGAATTTTGCTTTCTGCTGATTTGTGCTGCTTTCCATGCCTATTTGTCAGGCAATAAATCAGTAAAATCAAAACATTTTCCCAGAGGTGTCAGTCGATGGTTGCTGGTGAGACTGCACCGTTATGTAGAAGAAGAAAGATTTTGTGACAAAAGGTCGAAAATTTGATTAGAAGTGGTGACAAGTGGTTGAGGAATCACAAGCGATTTCACATAAAATATGAAGAGAAATATTTTTTTTGCGTTATAGCTTGAAAGTGAATGAAAGCATTGATATGAGATTAGTTGTTACTTTATAGAAAAGTGCTTTTTCGTATAACTTAGAATTGTACAAAAATGGGCGCTTAGTAAGGCCAATGAATAAGTTGCAAAGGATAGGGAAGATGGTTAATATCTAGGCTTAAAATATTATTTGGAAGACTCTTAAGTACGCTACCGAAACACTTTTTTTAGGAAGAATGTCGGATTTATTTTCAATTCGTTCACGGCTCTTTTCGCTTTCATCTTACACCCAAGATTGAAGGTTCGAAGAGTTTCTAACAGCGAAACCACTCAAACCCTGCAGTTTTTTTTATGCGAGAACTAGGCATTCTCTTGGGGTGCTCATGCAAAGTTTTCTAAATATCCTGCCGGCTTTGAATGCTTTGGAAATAGCTTTGAAACTCGATAAGAAATTGTCATGGCGTCTCAAAGATGCTGAGCTGCACCTGGAGACTCACAGATCTTCTTTTAATTGGATCTTCTGGGTAACCATTGGGTCTATATTATTCCATTAGGTACTGGTCTGGTGGACAGAAAGGAAGAAGAAAACTTATCTCAAAGGAGTAGAGAATGTACATATATTACCTACGCCTAACATTAGAAGAACACCCGTAACCCCACGTCAGCATTCTATGCACTGTTGCCTCTTCAGACGGCGGCTCTGATCAGGAAGATAGCTTTCAAAACTGCTTCGAGGCAGGCCAGGTTTCAGGCTTTACCAGGGCTAGTTCATATAAGATGATAACAGGGGTACAAAAACAAAAATTCCACCAACAAATTATACACACAATAGCAGTAAGAATTACAGCAAATATGTCATTTTGGACATTAAGAACCACCGAAGAGAAAATCCTGCTGCTCTGGTGTATATGAGTTCGTATTGAGCCTTACAGATACAGTAGCTCAAAATTTTTCGGACGAATGCACTAAGTGTTCTCGGACCGATGAATACTTTGCAGCGAATGTCAAAGCCACAATGGAAGGCCGATAGAGCATAAGGAAGGCTAACTCGATTCGATCCATGTTTTCATAGGTGGGTCCGAAATGGCCAAGGGAGAAGGGGTTGCAATACACTGGGTAGTATTTCACTTCGTTAGTGTTTTAAGCTGTCAGAGTAAGTATTATGGCATTTTCGAGGCAGAGGTTTTAGCCTTAAAAAGGCGCCAGACGGCAAAGAGCTGGAAAAAGTGGTTTAGACAAGAAAACTGCTATGTTTTTTAACCCTGCGCCTGGCCCTGGTTATTAGCTAGTTCCGATGCGATCTGACCTTAGTCAACTGATAACAGCGCTATGGAGCTTAGTGGTCTCTGCGAAGCCACGTAGTGCCTAGCGAACCCAACTAATTTAATCAAAGAGTGTACTATCAGATACATCGAACCAAATTTGACAAAACTTTCGAAGTATGTTCCAGAATGTATTGTACATATCTAGAAAATGGTTTGTGTAATATGTACATATTTACATCTGAAAAACAGCTGAATGTTTTCTGAAAAGGTCAGTCAGAGCAGCGGAAATTGTGTTTTGTATATTTTATTTGTGTTTAAACAGAATGATGTCGTTACGGGTTCGTGTTGCATTGATTACGGGGCACAGTTCCGTCTTTTTATCAATAGTAACTTTCTCTACTCTACTTCCCACCGACGAACAGTGGTGTCAAACTGAAATTATCCAGAGCCTTCAATTTTTACCAGATTTGATAAATTTAGAAAACGTTTCTTTAGCTCGATTTTTTGAAGTTTTATTCCTATACATGAAATTTTTCAGCGCAAATTTCAGAGAAAGTAGCTTTGTTTTCTGGCATTCAGCTGCCTTATAGTCACATTTTAAAGGCAATTTTTTAAATAAGGCAGTGTCGAAATCTTTCTTCTCGCTCTAATTACTTCACCTGGTATAATTCCGCCATGGAAAGTATTAATTTTGAAGAAATTCGATTCTCTTGTTCCTGTAGGGAGCAAAAATTGCTAAATTAAAAGTTTAAATATATAAAAAAAAATTAAGCCAAATTAATTTTTTTCTAATTTTTGGAAAATTTTTGGGTATGAGATTTTATAGCTCATTAAATTTTAATATAATAAGGTGCCGGTTTAAAGTGAGTTTTTATATATATTTTTTTAACGGTGCTAAGCATTTTCTTCCATATGCATAGAGTGTGCTGGAAATGTAATCAAATCGGTAGAAAAATTAAGGTTATAGACTATTTTGAACAGTAAATTCCAGTTTAACACCACAATGCGGCGTTTGATAGACAGTTTGAGTTCCAATTTATTTCGCTGGATAAGCTACAGGGTCCGGAAGGTTTTCAGAAGATTACTGGCCCAAATTACTTTTCGTAATTATTACTTATCCCTTCTCCACGCCTGAGTGTTTAAAAAATCAGTATCGATTATCTGGCGGGGTTCAGCCCGGGAAACGGTTTCGTTCCACATCTAGGCACTTTATAAATGGGCATGCCTTCAAAATTTCGAAAAGAAGCAATTAAAACGTTACAATAATTCGCGTCATTTACATATGTATAAGCTCAACCGGCGCCTACAAGTATGCAATATTAAACTCATAAGAAAGCTGTGCTGCAGTTACTTTATTATTTTCTTTGACTATAAGCGGTAAATCATGATTCTCAACCAGCGTACAAAATATCTAGTTAAAAAAAAACTGGCGAATCGCTACAGTTCAGTCTTTATACCAACTGGATATACGCAAATCATAAATTTTTGTTTTTTTTTTCAGTTCACCCTTCTCAACTTTCGCACATTTCTAGATAACGATTTCTTTAAAAACATTAATATTTAATTTTTTAATTTGTCCGAATCGAAGTTATTCACAAATGTCGAAAATCAAGCATAAATCAAATTTCTACTGAAAAAAAATTTCTATGCATTTTTTTTTCTTTCATTGACTTTCGTTGCACACCTAAATATTTCCTATATGCACACACGCTCAGAATTTTGTCACCATTTTCAACAATTTTTTACTTATTTTATTGACTGCCACTCGCAACTCCGGCTATCTACAATCATATCTCTCGTCTGAATATGCATTATTAATATTTTCTCTCTCTCTCTCTCTTTCTCTCATTTATTTTTTGTTACCCCGCCCCGCTCATCTTGCAGCTGCAATACGCCTCAAACTATGCATTCGGCTATCGCATACGTGATTTTATTACCGGCAATGATTTTGGCCACAAACAGAATCGTGATTTGGATGGTGTGACGCGCGGTCAATATCATATTTTATTGCCGGACGGACGTATACAGAATGTGATTTATCATGCAGACGATACGGGATTTCATGCGGATGTCAGCTTCGAGACAGGACATTGATGAGAGCGTGTGGGGTAGCGTACATACATACAAGCAACCAAGCAACCAAGCAGCCAAGCCAATTTAAACCAATTCCAACAAAATTCAAGCCAAACAAAGTCACCGAGTGTGGGAAATCGCGTGGAGTGCATGTCAACTAAAATGCAAAAATATCAACAACAACAAAAAAATAAAATCAGCAGCAACATTTGGTTGCAGTGACAACAACGCCCAAAAAAAAGAAAAACACACTAACAACAAAACTCAGCAGCCACAAAATCGGCACCACAACATCCATGGATTGGCATCGCGGTTTTCACGGCTCAATTCGATTGCAATTGTTGGCCGGCCTTACGGCGCAGTGGCAACACTGTTCATTTGCACTTGCACGTGTGCTAGTGCGGGTGTATTTGGGGTGTGCGTATGCATTTTATTTATTATTTTCTTGCATGAAATAACGCTATTGCAATCAGTTGGCTAAGAACAATAAAAACAATTGGCATAAATAGGAAATATTAGCATTGCGTTTTGTGGCTACCAATTGCAGATTGTCACATAATTTGGATCGAAATTGTTTTTATTTATTGAAATTGTTGCTCTATTCAACTTGAAGTAAATTTTTAGTGCAGTGAAATTTTTTATTATGTATTTTTTTTTAATTAATAAAAAATTTTGCTATAATTAGATTTGAAAATAAATAAATTGATATAATAATTGATAATTAATTCTTATTTTCGTACTTTTTTAAATTGTAAATTTTCTATTCACTTTTTTTCTGCTACTAAATAAAACTTGTATATTTTCTGTGACTTACTTTAATGGCAAAATTTTTTCTAATATTCTAATTCTACGTCTACAATACCCATATAATAAAAATAAATTGTAATTGTAAACATTTTTATCGAAATTAATTTTAGCCTCAAATATTTTTATTTTCAGCCCTACATATGTAGGTGGTGGTTGCGATGATTCACTTCAGGCTTTTTGCTCGTATACATACATACATACATACGACCATCCCATCCTCTCGTTAAAATTTTAATTTTCAATTTGTTTTTTCCATAATTTTCATTAAACAAATTGAATGATTTTTGTATTTTCAATACATGCTATTAGCGCAACAATAATTGTGAAAATTCAATTAAAATGCAATGATACAAAACTCAATTAGCAGTTAAATGGAGTTGACAATTTTCAGAGCAAATCAACAGGAAAGGTAAAAATATATTACAATAATTATAATAATTGTGTTAATGAGGTGTTGATTGGATTGTATGTGAAAAAGTAGAAAAAGAGAAAAAATCTCTTGTTAAGCTGTATAAATAATATTTATGTTTTTGAATAAAATTATTTACAACTTTTGTATAATATCAGCAACGAAATTTCCAAAATCTATAATGTAATCATTCAAAAGAAACTTATAATTATAGGAAGGAACTAACAACAAACTAGATTGCATGCAAAAAAAAATATTTTCTTAGTCAAATTTTTTTGATTTCTTTTGTTACATTTTTTATATTTAATATTTTGTTTTTATTTATATATTTAAAATCTTTTTTCATTTTTGCATTTTATTACACTAATTTCTATATAATTTTGCTTGATAAAACTTTCTTTGTTTTTAGAAATTTTTTCATTTGATTACATTTTTTTAATAATTAATTTTTTTAATTTTGGCGTTTTGTTTCGTTGTTTTGTGTATAGTTTTACTTGGTGAAACTTTTTTTATTTTTTAAATTTAATTAAAATTTTTTAATAATCTAATTTTTTAAATTTTGTTGCTTAATCAAAATCTTTTATTTTTTTATTTTTTATTCATTTGATTTTTTGATCTTTATATTTTTTTATTAACTTTAAATTTATTTTCATTTTCACCACTTTTCCTTTTATTTATTTGTATTAAATAATAATTAAATTCTTTTTTACAGCCCTTAGATTTAGGATATACATTTTTTATTAATTCTTATAACTCTAACATTATGTTACTTTTGATCATCAAAATGGAAATTTCATGTGCAATAAGTGACTTATGTATTCAGCTCACAGTTTTTTTTTTATAAATACTTATACGCATAGATAATTGCATAAATACATATGTGAACACAAATCAAGTGCAATACTCTTTACAAGTCTCAATAAAGTTTTTAGTCGTTATTTGTAGAATTAAATTTGGAGGCTTTTGTTGTTTTCTTTACGATCAGGGCTCGGATTTTGATGAAATCAAAACTAGCAAAAAATTACATTAAAAAATAAAAAAATTACCATAATAGTCCTTAAAAATTACATAAAACTAAAAACAATGCCCGAAGAAAGTTTGTTTACCTGCCATGCTTTTAAATATAATTGGCTCGGCTTCTTCATAGGCAGGCGGAACAATTTTTGTAAAGCTTTCTATGCTTATACTTCAAATAGGCCAGTAATGAATTTGTGATGGTCATCGTAAAATAGTGGCGATCAGAGAGAGCTTTTACTCTCTTAGAGTCGTTGCTGATCTATGTGAAAATCTCCAACAAAAGATATGCTCCCAGGCCATTTTTTGGTCGTGTATTTATGATATAGGCCGACAAAGTGGAAGATTGCTCTCTGAATATCTCTCGCCATCATCTATATACAAAAGTAATGGGCAGTGAGAACATGTCCATACAATGTGCACATAGAGCTTTAAAAGGCTCTGCCGGCGGGCAGGGCATTACCCATCACCAATGGAAAACTACATAAAGCTTTAAAAAGCATCTCCCATTGGATGTACATATATGTATTGGTCCTAACTGCTTTAAAAGCTTAGAAAATTTAGCAGGCAGCTTTTAAAGCACATTTTACCGGCATCTATTTCAAGTAAGGATTAAGCCGTCTATAAATGCATGTATAATGTACATATATCCTGGTTAACTTTGTTTTAAAACATTTTATTACAGAATTATTGTGGTCAAATATACAGTTGTCTTCCTATGCTGTTATCTTTGGTCAAAGCAGCTTTCACACAGTTCGTCTAGCGTTATGGATACAAAAAAAAAATGTTTTTAAGACCAAAATGAGCCTTCCTTGCAATTTCCTAGTTTTATGGCTCTAATTTAAAATAAGGTCTGTAAATGGTAAAGCTCCACCTAGAGGAAATTCAATACCAATAATTACCAGCTATTAAAAGCTCAGATAGAAAAGGTATTAAAGGAAATTAAATCAGCCCAAAAAGCTTCTATAAAAGCTTCCATCAGAAAAGCTCATGACTGAATATTTTTTCCTATTCTATTTTGCCACTATAAACTTACACTAAATATTTAAATATTTTTGGTATTTCAATAAATGCAAAAATTTTGACACTTAATAATATACATATTTTCATTTTTCTTTACAGGTAAATATTTTGGCAATTCTGATTCAAAAGTATTAGCAAAAAATAAGCCCAATTTTTCAAAATTCATCAAAAAATTTAATCAGGAATAGCTACTAACATTTCCAAGTCTCAAATAATTTTTACATGACATATGCAGGTAAGTTCTGCTGCATTATAAATTTAGCAGAGAGTTTTTGAAAGCTTTAAATAAGTGTCAAAAAAAATACATATTAAAATTGTATCAGAAAATGGTTAAGCCCAAACATCAATTGTAAAAAAACAAGGTTCAAAAGGCACGTGAAATGAAAGCTCTCGCATAGATCATAAGAGCAAATTTAAGAACTTTTACTTTGGGACACCTAAATGTGCTATAAAATCTGCAAAAGCTTTAGAGCAAGTTTTAATACCCTTTGCATAACTTTGGGTTTCCATTATATGGCATTTTTAATAGTTTTTTATTTTTTTTTATTTCTAATGCGCAAAACTTGAAACCCTGTGAAATGAACAACAGGCTCAAAAATTTTTACGTCATAATATTTTCAGAACTTTTGTTTTGTTTTTTTTTTTTTTTTGTTTACTTTGAATGGTCATTTTTAATAATAATTTAATCAGTAAAGATAGCTTAAGAAGGATACGAAAAAATAGTGAGAGGTTAAAGAATTTTGTGTGGTGCTTTTATATTTCCCTCCTCGGCCTTTTTTATATACAGTATTCCCCGCAAAATTGGTTCAAAATATGTGCTATCGGAAAGAGATATACCTTAAATTTTTCTCTTTTAATTAATTTCCCGGTTGATTGAACAAAAAATGTGCAGTTTTTGAAATAAAATTAAGCGACATAAAAGCTATAAGTTTATTCAGCAGAAACATAAAAAGCTCGTGACAAGAAAGTTCTAGCTTCATTTAAAAATGTATGTAGGTATCTTCCAACCACAGTTCACTATTATATGAACGTCCGTGGCAAGCTTTTTTCCGCTTTTCTTCTACTTTATGTACAGCGACAGTGAATAAAAGCTCTATCTTGATGCAAATGGTCTAAATCGGCGGGCGGCGCTTTTAAAAGCTTTCTGCACATTTTCTACTGACGCGTGCAGAGCAAAAGCTCTCTCTGCCCATCGCTGATCTAAATGTTAAACTTGAGAAAGCTTTAGACTTTTTAGGGAACGCTTTCAGAGCTATTACTCATCAGTAAGTCTCTGCTTGCAAGGGAAGGGTTCGAGGTAAGTACATACATGCCTCTCATTTAAAATATGTTGGGACAAAATTTAAAGCTCTATCTGATATGTAGATGAGGATAGATTTCCTTCTTCTTAAAAGCAGCATCTCGCTAAAGATCTTTTTTGCGGACACAAATCGAATTTTAATTTTCTTTCTAACCAATCAACAAATCTCTTCTCCCTATCTCAAAGCTTTTCTTATCCCCACTCCATTGTTCTTGGCAAAAATCCAAATCGCAGCAACATAAATCTTATCACCGAAACTTTTTCGCATACTTTGACTGATAGTTTTCCTCACGTAGCCACCTTTTCGTGCTGTCACTTTTCATTTGTGCTTTCTTTGACGCACAACCAAGTAAGATTGTTTGCCTTAAAGAAATTAAAAAAAAAAACAGTAAAATAAAAATTGAAAAAAAGTTAAGCAAAAGAAACAATGCGCCTGCAAACAACAGAATATTTATATGTAAGTAGAATAAAATAAATTGCGAGCTGCGTTGAGAGGGCAGTGGTGAGACAGCAACGGCTGGCGAAAAAGCAAAAAGCGCCCAGCAATCCTCGAATGCGAAAAATTACGATAGTATCCTTTCGCTTATCATAAATCAATTTCACGTATACGCCCACGCGTCGCACATGGACTAACATACGTACGCAAAAATGAAAAGGATTTGCAGGCGAGCGAACAAAAATTAATGCGCACATACACACATACACACACACACACGTGCATAGTAACTACATGAAAAGCCGTAGACAGACACAAAAATGTCGCTGTCGCTTGCTTGAGAGCTTTTTTTTCGCATAGACAAGCGACATTCATACATACATACATAAAGGCGCATTCGTACAATTCATTTTCTTGAGTCGCTAACTCACACCGCTGACCAGGCTTTCTTGTACCACACTCTTGTTTTTTTTTTCATATGTATCGCTTTCTTTTTTGCCTGCCTGCATTCACTATGTAGCCTGTCTAATTTGCATACAAATATCTTTTGTAATCAATTTAACTCCTTTCCTCCTACTGCGCCACCTACATACGCTTGGCTCACTTGTCTCACTTCATTTCGTGCTCTTTTG